AACAGCAGCATCAGCTACCAAGCAGCAGCCGCAGTAGCAGCAGCAGCAGCTACCAAGCAGCAGCAGCATCAGCTACCAAGCAGCAGCAGCATCAGCAGCAGCTACCAAGCAGCAGCAAGCAGCAGCAGCAGCAGCAGCAGCAGCAGCAGCAGCAGCCAAGCAGCAGCAGCAGCAGCCAAAGCAGCCAAAGCAGCCAAGCAGCAGCAGCAGCAGCAGCAAAGCAGCAGCACCAGCAGCAGCAGCAGCAGCAAAGCAGCAGCAAAGCAGCAGCAAAGCAGCAGCAAAGCAGCAGCAGCAGCCAAGCAGCAGCAGCCAAGCAGCAGCAGCAAAGCAGCAGCAGCAAAGCAGCAGCAGCAAAGGCAGCAGCAGCAAAGGCAGCAGCAGCAGCAAAGCAGCAGCAGCAAAGCAGCAGCAGCAAAGGCAGCAGCAGCAGCAGCAGCAAAGGCAGCAGCAGCAGCAGCAAAGGCAGCAGCAGCAGTGTTGCGTTGCAACAAGTGCAGCAACCCTGAACCGCATGAATGGCATCAACCGTACCATGACACGAGTTGGGGCAGCGTGACAATAGTATAGTTAATATAAGATGCACAAAGGGAAAACTCAACTACTGCCATGCTTCCACCAAACATCACCAAACTCTTCATCACCCGCTTCCCCCACCGAACTCTTCGCTCATGCCCCAACACGTCAGCAGCAAGCAGCAAGCAGCCAAAGGCAATCAGCAGCACCAAGCATGCAAGCAGCAAGAGACCAAGCCGCAGCAGGTACTGAGGAGAAGGGTGGAGTTGAACCCGCGGGGGGGGGGTTAAAGCCTGATATATCAGGTATCTGCACAGGTCCTCGGCTCCCACCCTCCTGGCTAAAGCAAGACAGACTCCAGCTAGCTACAGCTACTGTTGATGGACAAAATCCTGCACCACTTTGCGCACACTTTTCTTGCTGCCCTCGTTCTCCCTCGTTAACATTGTGGCCACCACAGTGAGAAAACAAAAACAAGTTGAAGGTCCAAAATCCTGCGCCACCTCCTCAGAGGGGTCTCGCCAACATTGAATGAGGGGGCACGGGGGTTGCTATGCGACCCTTCCAGGGTAAAGTGGTGAGGTGGTGCAGGATTTTGTCCATCAACAGTACCCGACACAGGGTTGCGCCAAGCAAACAGCGGCGGGCCAACAAACTTGTGGAGGACTACATGGCAACACAGTGCTCCACAGTGCCCGGACAGTGCTCCAACAGTGCTCCAGACAGTACCCGCGCACCAAAGCACTGTAAATACTGTGGGTATGGCCACAGGAGTGGTAAATGAATCAATAAAACGCCTAGAATTCTAAATTTCTATCGTTTTGCATTGCTACTGCCCGAATCGCTGGTATTTTCCATGTTTTT